CTGCGGAGCTGCGTGCTGGATTTTGGACATGCTTCTTCGTCGGAGGCGACGACCGTCGAGGCCTCAAGAGGCCCACAAGAAGCCCCAAGACGGCCCCCAAGGGGCTTCCAAACTGCCAACGAGCGAGTCCCGAGAGCCCAAGGGGCTTCCACACTGCCTCCAAGAGGCCCCCGAGAGACATCCCACGAGATCCCAACGAACACCCAATAGGCTTCATACCCCCAACCCAGGCACGGTGGCGGGATGGGGCGAAGGCCATTAGATATGCTTCTTCGTCGGAGGCGACGACCGTAGAGGGACACGGTGTGGGCATTGGACAAGGAACCCTTGGACAAGGAATCCTGGGTCTGGATCAGCCGTGAATATCGCCGCCGCCCTTAGCAGATAACGAATCATCGAGGGTCTGGAGCTTCCTTGGCACATTCCTTAATGAACGCCACCACCGTATTCTTCGTATTCGGGGGGGAGGAGGAGGAGGAGGAGGAGGAGGAGGAGGAGGAGGAGGAGGAGGAGGAAGAGGAAGGAAGAGGAAGGAAGAAGCAAAAGAAGAAGGAAACATAAACATAAAAGAGGATGCTGTGTATGGTGGTGATGATGCGAATGGTGGTGATGTGATGATGCAACCGACGATGCAGGTGATGATGATGTTGATGTTGATGCTGTTCATGATGGTGATGGGGGTGATGATGGTGATTATGATAATGATGGTGATAATGATGCTGATGATGATGATGATGATGATGATGATGATGATGACAACGATGCTGATGATGACTTGGATGATGACGATGGTGATGGTGATGACGACGAGGTGATGAAATCCCACCAGCCCTTTGGGCGTGAGTGGTTTAGAGAGCTCTCTCTGTCCTCAACCCCCCTTCTTCCCCTTCGGGGAGGGGTTTACCCCTCCCCCTACCCCCTCCCCCTGGACCTGGAGAGGGATTCCCGAGCGTCGCCGGGGGGTCTTTTTCGACGCCTGGGAGGGCCAAAAAACGACGACCCTCACGAGGATTCTGGCCCCGAGGGGGGGGGAGTTTGGTCCCTCAGCTCGTCTTTGAAGCAACAAACATTGATTTTACTACGGTTTTGGCTCCATTTTGGCCTTCTGAAGGGGTCGCGCCCCTCTTCCTTCATAGCAAAATCATTGATTTTACAAAGGTTTTGGGCTCATTTTGTCCTTCTCAGGGGGCAGCGCTCATTTGCGCTTCTGAGGAGGTCGCAAGAGGCCCCAAGATGGCCCCAAGAGGCCCCCAGGAGGCTCCCAAGAGGCCTCCAGGAGGCCCCCAAGAGGCCCCCAAGAGGCCCCAAGAGGTCCCCAAGAGGCTCCCAAGAGGCCCCCAAGAGGCCCCAAGAGGCCCCAAGAGGCCCCCAAGACGCCCCCAGAGGCCCCCAAGAGGCCCCCAAGACGCCCCAAGAGGCTCCAAGAGGCCCCCAACAGGCCCCACGAGGAGCCCGAACGACTCACACCAGGACGAGAGACCCCAACGACTCACACCACGAGGAGCCCGAACGACTCACACCACAAGGAAGGGCCCGAACGACTCACACCAGGACGAGGCGCCCGAACGACTCACACCACGAGGAGCCCGAACGACTCACACCACGACGCGGGCCCCGAACGACTCACACCACGAGGAGCCCGAACGAGTCACACCAGGAGGAGGGGCCCGAACGACTCACACCAGGATGAGGGGCCCGAACAACTCACACCACGAGAAGCCCGAACGACTCACACCAGGACGAAGAGCCCGAACGACTCACACCACGAAGAGCCCGAACGACTCACACCAGGAAGAAGGGCCCGAACGACTCACACCAGGACGAGAAACCCCAAACGACTCAAATCACGAGGAGCGTTTTCTCTCCCTCCTCCTCCGCCTCGTCCTCCTCCCGCTCCCCCCACAAGGAGGATGCACAAGCAGGCGGGAGGAATGAGGAACAGGGGAGGTATGCGGGGCCTAGCGGACACACGCCTGAAAAACACGACTGCCGGCATGCTTCGCAAGGGTTGCCCCTGTGAGATGGGTTGGTGGGGATACGCGAAGCGTAAAGAATTGACAATGATGTTGATGCTGATGCTGATGTTGATGCAATGATGGTAAGGATGATGCGATTGGTAATGATGATGATAACGATAATGATGATGGTGATGATGATTATGAGGATAATAGTGATAGTGATAATGATAATTATTATGATGATTATGATGATGATGGTGCTGCTGCTGATGATGATGATGATGAAGATGATGATGATGAGGATGATGATGATGATGATGATGATGCAATCTGAACGGACACCCCTCCCAGGGCGTGGGTCCCAAGAGACTCGGAACGGCGTCAGCCTAACGGAAAAAGACAGCTGGCGTGACGAGGACTTTCATTCCTTTTTGCAGCGCCGAGAGCTCAGGCCCACACCTGAGTACACTTGCGATGGCGGCTGACGGCAGAGCTGAAACAACGAGAGCCCACTGGCCCACACGGCCGGGGAGCTCGAGAAATCTGACAGTCTGGCCAGACCTGAAATCAAACCCGAATTCGCAGAAGTCCAAGCTACTTGCCTTCCACTCCAGCGTTTCCCAGGGTGGGAAGGGCGGGACGGCAGAAAGGCTCGAGGGGAAGAGGCAGCGGGAGGGGAGAGAGCGAATGCACAAGCGATGTGACCAAATGCAATGCAATCTGAACGGACACCCCTCCCAGGGCGTGGGTCCCAAGAGACTCGGAACGGCGTCAGCCTAACGGAAAAAGACAGCTGGCGTGACGAGGACTTTCATTCCTTTTTGCAGCGCCGAGAGCTCAGGCCCACACCTGAGCACACTTGCGATGGCGGCTGACGGCAGAGCTGAAACAACGAGAGCCCACTGGCCCACACGGCCGGGGAGCTCGAGAAATCTGACAGTCTGGCCAGACCTGAAATCAAACCCATATCGAACGCTGGAGTATATCCCATATCAACTCCATTGGCATGCCGAAAGAACATTACAGCAGGCTGGACGTTGGGACACAACTCAGGAAAGGAAAGATAACTGCATGGCCTCCGCACGCTGAGCCTCTGCTTTGACGGCGGCCGAGAGGCGTCTGAAAGAAGCAAGTGCTCGGCCGCTCTTTTGATAGCGCTGGACTGAACGGAAGCTCGCCCACCTGCCGCGAGTCTGAATGTCGGCCAGCGAGCGGGCGCCCCTCAAGTAGTCCTCCGACGGACCGCCGTGCCGGGGGAGGTGCGCTGCCACCTTGGTCGGGAGGCCGACGGCGACGGCGGCCTTCTTGAGCAAGCGGTTGTACGACGCGTACGAGTGGAGGAACATGAGGCGCCCCTGCCGGGCTTGGTTGGCGCTCTTGACGAGGGCCATGAGGGCGCCGGCCACGCCAGCACGTGACTGGCCATCGATGAGCACGGTGTCGTCCTGGAGGCCAGTCTTGGTCACGCGAGTGTGCACGTCGTCGCCCATGACGAGCGCGGAGGCACCGACGACAAGCCCCATCTTGTTGTAGCCTGAGCCGGCACTCGGCTGCGGCAGGATGCAGCAGGGCACGCGAAGGTCCAGCAGCTCGCCTGGGCGCAAGTACGTGTCGAACTGTACCACCAGGCCGCGGGCGGCCTGCAGGGCGATCTCTGTGTCGAGGCCGGCCAAGTACAGGGCCATCAGGCACGCTGCCGCCCAGCAGAGCGGCTCCGAGGTGACGTCCGGCTCGAGCTTGCCCCAGCCAGAGAGGGCGCCCTTCGCCTTTGGGAAGACGTCCGGGGCACGAAGCGACACACTGAAGCGGTAGGCCAGGGCGGCCAGGGTGTAGCGGGCCGTGCTCTTGCTGCCGGCGCCGACGTAGAGCTGCTCGAAGTACTCCTCGAGGAGCGTGTCCACCAGGGGGAGGTCTTTGCTCACCCAGCGGTCGGCGACGACGCCCATGGCCGTGGCGAACGCGACGACGCTGGCGAGGTAGCGGGCCTGAGTGGCCGGCCGCACCTGCGAGCGCCGCAGGAAGCCCGGCGAGGAGTCAGCAGGCGCCTGGCGGGCCCGGGCAGCCGACGCGGCCTCTGCCGAGGCTTCGGCCTTGCCCGCGGCCGCGGGAGGCCGACGAAGCCCCCCCAGCCCTCGGCGTCGGGGGGCCAGAGCGCGACCCACTTCCGCGGGCAGCTGGGGCACTCGAGGGACGGCTGGAAGTCGTCCATCTTGGCTGCACGGCGGAGCTGAGTCTCCCAGTGACCGGGCAGCAGTGGATCCCCATCTTGTCGCCAAGCTGCCGCGGGCGCCGCGCGCGCCAGGGCCCGAGCGGCGCTGTGGCAGGCACCAGGAGGGTAGGCGCCAGCCAGGGTCGTGCGCCAGAACTGCTTGAGCCGACCCTGGCGATCACGGACCTTGACCTTCCCCTGAAGATGCTCGTGGGCATGACCTCCAAGACAACGCCTTTCAAAGGTACCGAGCTCGGGGAGGTCAGACTCAATCCTGGTGGGCTTCTGGTACGGGGCTCCAAACCGACAGCAGTCATATACCACGGAGACCTTGCTATGCTCGGACAGGAACTTCTGGAGAGGCTCCCAAGAGAAGAGCCGGGAACCCCGGGGGTTCTCGAGGGACCACCTGACGCCGAACTGCCCTGAGGCTCATAGTTGCTTTTTAAAAGAGATTTTTGAAAATCGCTTTTCTAAAAAGAGTTTTTTTTGTTGAAAAGGGATAAATAAATTGAACAGGAACGTGTTGTTCAACACATTTCAAACAAACAAGAAAAAAACACCTACGAGTCTCAAACCATGAGCCGATGCCCACGCGCAAAAGGCGAAATGCAGGTTGAAAAAGGAGGACTAGAGAGAAGGAGCAGGACGATGAGAGTTTATGATGTCTTAAGAAGCGCGGTCCCCTATATACTCGTCCCCTCCCGATTGCTGTGTTCCTCCTCCTTTCTCCTTTTCGTTTTTTCTTCGTTTTTTTCTAAAAAAACATGCGTCGTTTGAAGCGCACATTTTTTGTGCACCAGCACCAGCTCCTGCACACTCATCGCTCAACA